ATTCAAAGTATTTTCTTAGCATCCAAACACCAAAACTATACAATTTTCTAGCCAAACAAATGGAAACCCACTAAGAATTGATTCTTTGCCCTACGGTCACTGCTTCTATTCTTTCCATCACCAACGATGTTCTTTCCATTTTGAACATTAAAATCATTTAGACAATACTTAGGAAATATGAAGAAAAGGATCCCAAAAATCCCTCACAACCTGTAATTTGCATAATCTCTTCACAAACAAACATATAACAAAAAAATAAAAAAAAAAAGTGGAGCTGGGATTGACGGAACCTAGCTTGGGTTCCACCAAACCCAACAGATTTGGGTTCGATGTAACCCAGCAGATGGGTTCCATAGAACCCGAGCTGGGTTCAATGGAACCCAACAGATCTGGGTTCAGTGGAACCAAGCAACACAGAGGAAGAAGAGGAAGAAAGAAGGGGAAGAAAGAAAAAGAAAAAAGAAAGGAAGAAGATGGATTGAAAGAAGGGAAGAAGATAGATCAAGAAAGGGAAACAAGGGTATTAAGGTAAATTTGTAGTTTTTAAATTTTTTTATTAAAAGTATAAATGCTAATCAAATTTAGTTTATGAATTAGCGTTGATGTATCATCAAAAAAAATTTTAAATCAACACTTTTTTAAGTTGCTTTCGTCATGTCATCAAAAAAAATATAAAAAATACCACATGACAGAGTTAACGGTCTAAATTGATAAAAGGACTAACGGTGTGCATTTCTTAAAGTTGAGGGATTAAAAAGGTGCAAAAAATTATTGAGGGACTAAAAATGTGTTAACTCACTAAAGTTGAGAGGCCAAGTTTAACATTTAACCTTTATTCAAATGACAGAGTACTCTGTTTTTAAACATTCAGCCAGCACAACAGATATTCAAGACAAATTTACAGGCAGCAATGGACCTCTCCACCTCCCCTTTATTTTTGACAAAGATAAGACTCCAGAGAATCAGTCATCACCATGTCTAATCCAAGAATCCAGCTTTCTTGTAGCTTTCTATGGCATCAACAAGGGTTTCTTCCAGGAGGCGATAACGCCAGCCAAGTCTCTGCAACTTCTCTGAACTCAGGATTTCATCTTCTGCCTCAGTGAAGCTGGCAATGTATACAAGGAAGTTTAATGTACAGTGAAGAAAATTATAGGTTTGGGACAATATTTCCCCAAGCATGACATTATATTTGAAACTAAAATTCATTCCCATGCAAAATGAATGTTACCTTTTAGGATAATTGTAGTTAGGATAAAGGGTGCGCAGTTTATCAACGAGATCATGTTCTTTGATGGAGTAAGCTGTGCATATGTATCTGCCTACAGCCTCAGGCTTCTCATATACCAGAATGAGTGCCTCAGCCACATCACGCACGTCTACTATCGTCGTCCTTTTGTTCCCCAATAAATGAATACCGTCTAAATGAACATATCACAAGAAAATACAAGACAAGTGGGATTACCATAGCGTGGAACATTACTCGAAAGAAAAACAAGTTTAAGTTATATATGCCATATTCATTATAGATAGACCCAATGAAAGTAAGAATAAGTTATGCATGTGGTACAGGACTAAAAGCATTCGATAAATAAGATAGAAGCAAAGCACCTTTCAAAAGCTTGATGAGTTGCATGCTACTTGCATTGACAGAGGGTTGTAAAAGTGGTCCAAAAATAAGGGTAGGACAGACAGTTACAACATCAAGTCCAGTGCTTTTTGCAAACTCCAAAGCCTCACTCTCTGCTTCTGTTTTTGAAAGGGGATACCAGTTCTGGTACAAACCATAAAATATGGATTAAGAATTCATGTGAAGACATTCTTGTACTACTTCAACGAAACACAGTCAATCTCTTGCAGTTACTAACCTTTGTTGTTCTGCAATACTCCTTATCAGACCAACAGCTTTCATCCTTGATTTGACCCTTTGGCCATCCTGGATTCAATGCAACTGCAACTACAGAGGACACCACAACAACTCGCTTCACCTTTGCTTCAACACATGCTTTAAGCACATTAAGTGTGCCCTTCACAGCTGGTTCAACTAATTCCACCTAATGCAAGTAACATGAGCATGTGACAAGATAGAGATGATCAAATATTAACACTAATTAAGCAAAATGTTATGCATCAAATGCATGTCAAAGTTAAAACCCTTAGGATTAGATGCTAGATGCCACTTGATATACTTCAAGCAAACTAATTCTCACTCTCTTTTTATACCCTTTCTTTTGGTATCTCCTAAGTGAGACCTCACAAACAAAGTGATCAAAGGGGCATAGATCCTGATGCAAGTTAAGTGAGATTAACAAAATTGATTCCACAATAAGGACATATACTTGCCTCAGGATTTGCTCCAGCAGTTAAGGGCAAAGGAGAGGCAACATGGAAGACACCACTGCAGCCTTCAATGGCTGAATAAAGAGACTCATAATCCAGTAGTTCTGCCTTTAAGAGTTTAAGGTTCTCAGATGCTTTGTCAAGTTTATTCAGATGGGCATACTTCTCATCCCCTGCAAACCTCATCAAGTAAATTAGTAAACAAGATTCCTATGTTATATAGCCTTTAGAATAATCCTTCTAGAAATAACCAAGCAATGAAATTGTTCAAGATCTCAAAGTCAATGATAAACAGATCATATAGAGTGAACGATAAACAGGGTGCTACAAACATAATAAAAGTAGAAATACAGAGAGAATCTTTACTTACAGAGGTATCCCACGACAATACTGGATGATTAGCAAACCACAAACACAGAGGAATACACCAGTGAATAGAAAAGAATAAAGAGACAAGGGAGGTTACCAGGCTGTCTCACAGTGCCATGGACGGCATAGTCTCTGCTGAGAAGAAGCTTCACTAACCAAGAGCCGAGGTACCCTCCAGCACCTGTAACACATACTCTTTCCTTTACCATCGTTTCTCGCTCCTACTCTCCCCAATTTTCAGTCGTTAGCTTAAAGTCCAATCTTCATCTCTTATTTATTTCTATAATATTATACAAATATACAATAGAGGCTTGTTAGAGTATCGAATGTTCTAGAATCTGGACAATAGGCACCCTCCCTGGCAGCAGACTACATTGAATAAAGAGACTCGTTTAAAAATATAGTAACTTTTTGAAAGAGTCAACCATGATTGAAGCTTTTTTCAAAAAAAAAAAGAAAAACTAGCAAAGAGAGTTTGTAGGCAGAAAACAGATCTAATCAATTAATCCATTCAGAAGCAAGAATAATATATCAAAGAAAAAGAAAAAAAAAGAAGGGAAATATGTTTTCAACTAAGGTACTTTTATTTAAATTACAGAATATCCTGTCTATATTCTGTTTTGTCCATCATACTCTTCAAATGTGACAAATAAAAGACTCTGAGCAATCATTCTTCCTATGGTGACAACATCTAATCCAAGATTCCAGCTTTCTTATAGCCCTCAATGGAATCAACAAGGGTTTCTTCCAGGGGTCGATAATGCCAACCAAGTTTCTGCAACTTCTCTGAACTCAGCATTCCTTCTTCTCCAACAGTGAAGCTGCCAATATACACAAGGAAACTTAAAAGAACTGAAACAAAATTTATGTGCTTGGGATGGTGATTCTAAGAGTATATTTAATCCTACTCAGATTAATATTGTGAAAACAAAAATGAGTTTACCTTTTAGGATAATGGTAGTTAGGATACAGACTACGCAATTTATCAACCACATCACGTAATTTGATTTGGTGAGCTGT